AGGAATAAAGGGAGCAGGAAGAGACATCGGGTGGGCACACAGGGTCAAACAGGACCTTGCGGTTTCTCACTGCGGCCAGGGAACAAGCAAGCAACCGCTACCGCCCGGGCCGAGCCGACCACCAAAAACACAGCGAGACGCATGGGGCTGCTCAGGATGGGGCGGTTGGTGAGCAGCAGAGAAATACACTGGCCCCAGCAGGTTCCTGGGCCGTGTCCCTGGGAAAAGCGCCCGGCCCACCTGGACCCCAGCTGCGTGCACTACAGCGTCCCAAGCCCCGCCCTCCGCGCCAGCCCTCCGCCTCTGAGCCCGAGCGCACGCGTGACAGCACCGAGAAGGCTCTCGGCCCCCGCAGCCTCCGGAACAACTCTATGACGGACAGTTCACCCCACAGGAAGAGGAAACAGCAAAACCGGCAGCAGCTCAAGACCCGCGACGCTAAAAAAGCTCCGCCCGCGGCCCGCCCTCCGAACCGGAAGTGAGGCGTTGGCTCCGCCCCCGAGCTCGATAGCTCGCGAGACTTTGCAGAGCCCTTCCTTTTTCGTCTCGGTCGCTGACATGGTAGGTGATTTTCCTCATGCGTCCCCATAGTTGCTGGCCTAGGCCGCGAGCTTTAGTCACCTTGCACCCCAGCCACCTATTCCCGAGCTTGGCCCGGTCTTCCAGGCCGCGCATGGCCAGCCGCAGGGCGGGGTAGCCGGCGTGGGTCCGGGGCGGGGCGGGGAGCCTGGGGCCGCGTGTTCATCCTGCGGTTCGGTTTCTCGAGACACGCGGTCCGGGGTTCACTGGCGCCTCCCTGATGAGGCCGCACGGCCCTGGGCCAAGCCGTAACCTCGACTTCGCTGAAGGTGCAACAAAGCAGATCCTTGGCCCCCAGGCCTATAGGTCTCTCACACACTGGCAAGCTTCGCCCCCTGCCCCTCTTCCCTTAGGCCTTATCACCAAGCACCTTTTCCCACACAGCCATCCAGACTAAGGAAGACCCGGAAACTTAGGGGCCACGTGAGCCACGGCCACGGCCGCATCGGTAAGTACTGTCTCCACATCCTGGTCGGCCTTGGGCTATCTCTGCATGGTGCTAGCTTGTCAGGAAGTAGGTAGCTTAGGGAAGTGGGTTAGTTAGAGCTCTTGGCGGTCGAGTCGGATTGAATTTGATCATTAGCTGTTGGCTTTTTCTTTGAGAATTCTCTAGTACTCCAGTTTTAGAGAATTTCACGTCAGTTGCGGGGGGGGGGGTTGGAAATTGAGCGGGGTCCAGTATTGAATTGGTTGAAGGCATGGAGTACTGTGTTAGTGTTGTGAGGTGGAACACTGCAAAGTGATGACTATCCCAGAGTCTTGAAGGAACAGCATTGCTGGAAGAGGTATTAAGCAAAGGCACAGAAGTATGGGGAAATGCTTTTGCGAGAAGTAATATCGAGGGGTTGGAGAAGGCTATTTTAGCCATGTAGCTTTGTGTTCCTGCAGGCAAACACCGGAAGCATCCGGGAGGCCGCGGTAATGCTGGTGGCATGCATCACCACAGGATCAACTTCGACAAATAGTGAGTGTTTTTCGGACTCTGCCTTTACTGACACTGACAGCTTTGGATTTGGGGGTAGAGGGTAGTTAAGAACATCTTCAACGGGAAGCAAGGCTCTTACCACTCAGAAACCTTGCCTGTGGCTGGGTTTCGTCAAGTTAATTTTTGATGTGAACTGAGAACTTGTCACCGAGGCTAGAGTCACGCTTGGGTATCGGCTATTGCCTTAGTGTGCTAGAGTCCTCAAAGAGAAACTGCTGACCTTATTCACTGGCTGTGGCCCTCATGGCATAGTCAGTCACCGGGTTAGTGACATGCATCAGATTGAGTTGCACAACTGTTAGATCCATTTAACGCCCACAAATTAGCAGGGTTGTGTTCTCACTATTTATTTAGGAGACCTGTGTTATAGGAGTGTGGGGAAGCTGTCAAGTGACCTGAATCCTAGTCTTGGCACTGCCTCTGACTTTCTCAGTGACTTACTCTGGTTCCGTGAAATAAGGCTAGTCTTTTCCATCCGATTGTCTTTGGTGGCTTTTTAAAGATTTGTTTTATTCAAGAAGTGGAGTACCTGCTTTGTCACTCTTCTGCATGAGTGAACAACTTACACTGTAATGGGGGGGAGATGGACTGTGGAGATGGTAAACAGAGCTTTTTAGTTGGAGTGAGGTAATGGAAATGGTTGCCTTCTTTTCCCAGTCACCCAGGATACTTTGGGAAAGTTGGTATGAGGCATTACCACTTAAAGAGGAACCAGAGCTTCTGCCCAACTGTCAACCTTGATAAATTGTGGACCTTGGTCAGTGAGCAGACACGGGTAAATGCTGCCAAGAACAAGACTGGAGCTGCTCCTATCATTGATGTGGTGCGATCGGTGAGTGAACTGAGTATTTTTTGCTTTTTTGTGGGTCCTTGCCTTTCAAAATCCTGGATAATATAGTTGCACCTAAAGTCTATATACCCAGATACCTACTAGAAAGTTCCACTTTCCGTAGCATTTCCATGGGTACTTACTGACCAAAATTGAACTCTTGTTCAATTGTGATTCATGCAAAACATTTGAAGAGTAATTCTTCCACTCCCTCGTTCATTTACTTCATTTTTCACTTGAACATTTTCCAGTTGGTTATCTTATTTCTAGTGTCAGTGCCCTGATTGGTACAGGTTTCTCACCTGAACTATTGGTAGTAATTTAGGTCAGCTGGCTCTGGTCTGTTTTACACAAGACTGCATGAGGCACAGCCCTTGACCCTTTATGTTTCTTACAGAATAAAATCCTAGTATGTTCAATTGTTATTTAAGGCCCGACATTATCTGAAGAGAACCCTGCCGCCCCCCCCCCCCCCCCCCAAAAAAGGGCATTTTTGTATATCATTAGGAGTTCTGGTCCTTGTGTCAGTCTTACCACTGTGGGTATGGAGGTGGTGGGAATCCTGAGGGGGCTTTCAGTAAAGTTTTAAAATTCCCTTTCTCAGCCTCTTCTTTGAGCAATTCTGATGACCATGACTTCTTGGAGCATTGCTGGAAATGTGATTTTCCTTTTTTGCTTATCAAGTCGTAATTGAATAGGAGAAAGGGTTTGAGCTCTGCCCGAGACTAGAGTCACATCCTGACAGCTCTTGTCCTGGTGTGCTAGAGTACTCGGAGAGAATGTGCTGGTCTTGATTCACTGGCGAGGGCAGTCAGTGCCCCCGGGAGTGCCCAGATCAGAAACATGCCCTCCGTGGCTCCTAGATGGAGTGGATTGGTAGGCATTTTTCTTCGTACCCATCACAGAGTTGGTGACTGCCACGGTGCATTATAAACCCTTTTCTCTGTTCTTCTAGGGTTACTACAAAGTTCTGGGGAAGGGAAAGCTCCCAAAGCAGCCTGTCATCGTGAAGGCCAAATTCTTCAGCAGAAGAGCTGAGGAGAAGATTAAGGGTGTCGGTGGGGCTTGTGTCCTGGTAGCTTGAAGCCACATGGTGGGAGATTCATTAAATGATAACAAGTGCTTTTCTCTTCTGGTCTGAGTGAGGGTTCTTTGGCACTTCTACTTCCCTACCTGTACAGAAACCCACCTAACAAGTTCTAGGAGTAAGGGTGTGAGGACCTGGGCTCTTCTACCAGCTCCCCTTGAAGTATGGGAGAGATGGCACCAACACTTAGAATACGGCCTTGGCTGGTTACCTAATTGGGGGCTTCTCACTTATAAAGTGAGAATGATACCTGTTGGTGCCATCGTATCATTGAAAGACCTATTGGCATTGTATGCTCTGAATTTATAAATGAGTGGGACAATGTGCCCTTAATTGTTCCATGGGGCCCAAGGGGGGAAAACTCATGGTCTTTACAAGATTCTGATGAGTCATGTTGGAAAGATGGGTCAGTGGTAGGATAGAAGTGGTTCTTTGGAACTTACTTCCTCAGTCTAAGGTTCTTCAACCTGGCTTCCTCATCTCAGACCAAACCATTCTGGTCATAATCAAAATGTCGGAATGGGGCCCAACAGTCTGAATTTTAAACACACCAGGGCTTTTACACATCAGAGTGGTTTGGGTTCTAGAAAGCAGTTGTCAGGATTTATGGGTCCTTGTGCACAGGAGTCTTAATGTTCAAAGAAATAACGTCATGAAATGCTAATGATTTTCCTTCCAGTGTGAAATGTATCTAATAGAGAAATTTGGGGAATGCTAAAGGCCAGAAACCAGAATCAGGTTTCCTAGGGTTTGTTACCTCCTGCAAAACCAAGAAGATGAGCAATGCTTGTGTGCAGATAGGACCCTCTTAGATCTTGGTAAATTGTAGTTTGGTATAGTTTTCCAAGATTTTGAAAGTTTTTGACCCATAATAGAACTTGCAGGCTAGAACCCTGACCAAAGAATAGTTAAGATGGCACTTACTTAAAGCCTACTAAAACTCTACTTACATGTTTAGTTTGGTAGAGGGTGGTTTCTGTATTGCTTTGTGGGATCATAAATGGACTGGGAACTATGACTTTCTGTGAGACTAATTTGTCATGACAGCCTTCAGAAGATATTGGGGATGGTCAAATGTAAGGAAGGACGGGAGGAAATGTAATTGATTTGTATAATGGAGAGTTTAAGGTGTCAGGAAGGCACTCAGTTGGATAAGCTAATAACGATCATTTACATCCTCTGTTGGTACTGGTGGAGAAAGGTAAAAATTGGGTTTCCCTTAATGTCTTTTGGAGGACTTATAATAGGGAAGCTTTGATGCTTCTAGACACTGAAGGTACAGAAATGTGTAAATACAGTGTCTTAGATTCAGGCCGGATTTGAAATTTATATCTAAACCTAATAGCTGTGTGACTTAGGCTTAGTCCAGTTTTCTCATCTTTAAATTTAGGTAAACGTACCTACTTGAGGATTGTGTGGATTAAGTAAAATGGAAAGCATTTACTATATTTTTGTGTTTAGCTCTTAGTAACCAGCATGTAAGTGAACCATTATTACTCGAGCAGACAAGTCAGTTAACCTTGGTGTGATTCAGTCAATGGGAAAGTGGTCTAAACACAGGAAAGAGCAAATGTGCATTTAGGAAACCCAGTTTGGAAAGGTTAGGCAAGTTGGGAGGTGTTACATGGGAGATGAGCATGGAGCGAACAGTTATTCTGGCCTGGCTGTAGTTTAGGGGCACAAGGCTACAGTGGAAGGCTGGAGGCGGGACCATGGGGATGGAAGACAGGATTCAGAAGACATGAGGGACAGACAGGACTTGGTGACTGAATTGGGGTGGGGCTGGCAGCAAAATATGGTTTAGGAGGAGGATAGGTAGGTGGTCAGTAGTCCCTTTATGGCCAGCTTCTTCCAGGGTTTCATTGCCAGAACCTTGCAGCATAACTATCCTGAAACTGGATGGGAATAATGCTCATCCCAATCCTGTATGGAGGTGCTGCTGTTGGACATGCATGCTAAATATGAAAGTCAGTCACTAGTACAGCCATTCTGAATAGGGAGGATGCCTCAAGAGTATAGCTACTGATCTCTGAGCTGCCTTGTTCTGGCTTGCTCACTCACCATTATCTACAGGTAATAACTGGGCAGATGCTCTGATTACTCCCAGGTAATACTGTTGCCAAAGGAAGCTGGGTTACTGGTGAAAAGCCAAACTTGTTGAAGATAGTGGAGGACACGGACCTAGAGCAAGCGCTTATCTTTCATAGGACCAAAGGCATACCTTACGCTTTGGTTTTATATGAGTGAAACGTTCCAATGCTGACATACAAAATATAGCCGATGCATAGGCAAAGTTCATGCGTTAGACTGTCGAGCTTTGATTAGACCCATACTGCCACTGCCTCTTTAGTGGCCGATGATAACTGCACGGTGTTGATGGGATTCTCCCATGTAGGCGGAGCAGGTGCCCCCTAACTCAGGTTAACGGCTAAATTTTCTATAAGCTTGAATTCCTAAGGATATTTCTAGCCTGATAATGTAGCCTAATAATGTATGTGCTTTAAATACATTGCTGTTCAAACCTCGGAGCTGCTACTGTGACTTCCAATTTATGGGAAATGCCCGCCACATAATTTGCAAAATCCCTCATTGTCAGAACCAGCTAAATAGGATTTTAACTTTTCAATTCAAATACTACTATGCGGTGGCTAACTAGCCCAGTAGCAGCCAGCCCGGGAGGAAAAGCAGCCAAAGGCGTGCACCACCGGCGGGAGGCAGGCAGCGCTCGCCTACCTGCGCTGCGGGGCGGGAGGTTACCGGGATGCCGGCGGCTGGAGCCCTGCGGAGGCTGGCACCCTAGCAGCCGCTCTCGTTGGTCCCTACCGTCCGACGTCCTTGGCGCCCTCAAACCGTCCGCCACCGCACAGCCGCTCTCCTCTCCCCCATCCCTGAGCCACTTCCCGAGGGTGTGAGGTTCTGGTTCCGGCGTCACTTTGCTCTCTGTCCCACCCCAGGGCCGGAAGCATGCTAGGCGCAGGCCCGCCATTTCCGGCAGGGGGCGGGGCTGGCCCGTGGCGCGCGGACGAGGCGGGAGGGTTAACCCGGCCAGTGTCCCAAGTGCGGCGTGGTGGGCGCACAGCCTAGGTCGCCAGCCTCGCCGCACTTAATTTCCGCTTTGGCCGCGCGGAAGAAGAGAAGCTGTGGCCTTTCGATGCACTTTCAAGATGGGAATTTCCATATCTCTCAGATTACGTTGCCATTAAAAGATAATGAGTGTTCGAGGTACTTTGGGATTAAACAAACAAAAAAAACTTGTACGTGCGTGCATGGGAAGGTTCTGGAAGAACAACGCAGAAGGGATTTTTTCCTCATGAGTTTTGGGAGGTGAGGAAGATGATGTATGCTTTGGTACAGTTTGTTTCTTCCTTAAGCAAATGCATATTACTTTCACGTTAAAAAGCAATATAGACAGACAGCTTTAACTACAAGTTACGGTAGTTTTGTCAGTGCTGAAAAGTAGTATTTTCTCTTATTTTAGAACTTCATGACCTTTTAAATTACACCCACCCCCACAGCCCATAGGCAAGTAAATTCAAGATGTTTTGGAATGCCACATTGTGTGGCTCTAGAAACTAATTTTGTGTGTCGCCCCTAGGAAGAATATAGGTTAAGTGTATGTTTCATTTCTGGCTCTGTTTTGCAGCCCAGTTTTTGTTTTACTTTCATTACCACTTAAAGTTGGTTTAAAAAAAAAACCAAAACCCTATTTATCTATCCTTATAAATCAGTCCTTTGGGGTACAAGGTGAGTTATAAGTCTTATTTGCAAAACGAAGGGTATTATTTTTAACAAAATTTAAACTGATCTGTGATATAATTAGAATAATTTTCTTGGGGTCCTAATTCCACATACCATCCAGCGTGAACCACAGTTGCTTTCCAAGAGCATTCCAAAATATTGCCTTTAAAAAGCCCATACTTCTCATTTCAACATTGTGTTTACCAGAGCATGGTAATTTACTGAAAAGGGCATTTAGAAAGATGTAATGGCGCAACCTGCCCTGCTCTAAAAGTTACCAGACTGATTACTGGAGAAAACCTCAGGGCCTTTCTTAACTCCAGAATGGAGGAGGGCCGACAGCTCATAGGCACTGGGACTTCTGGTAGAGGAGACAGCACTGCACTGCCCCTGAGCAATTTCCCAGAAAGGCACTGTCTAAGCACCGTTATTTTCCGTAGTGGTGACACCATCCTGGGGGGGCGGGGGGGGTGTGCATTTTGTAAAGGTACGGGAGCGTTTTTGGTCACAATTATGGAAGGGAAGCAACCAGAGATGCTTGACGTCCTGCAGTGTATGGGTTGATTCTAAACCAGGGGTCCCTGGTCTGTTAGGAACTGGGCCGCACAGCAGGAGGAAAGCAGTGGGCAAAGCCACCTCTGCTGCTCCCCATCGCTCACGTTACTGCCTGAGCCACCACCCCCACAGCCCCACCCCTTGCCTGGAAGAACTGTCTTCTGTGGCACCGGTCCTTGGTGCCAAAAAGGCTGGGGACCACTGCTCTAAACAGCAAAGGAAAACCTAGCTTAGAACCTACCTTCATTTTACACACAATCAGAATCAAAAAGATGTGTTTTTGGTTCTTTGTGTTTGTTTTTTTGCAGGTTTCATATACTTCTCAGTTTTCCAGGATTCCAACTATTGTTTAAATCAGGGGAAGCTCAAAATGTGTTTTGTTTAGAATATTGCCAAAAATTGTTCATTTCAGAAAACTCTCTTAGCAACTGGTTAACACCCACTTAGTAGAATATGAGTTGCTAATTCAACACACTTTTTCTGCATGTGTAGCTGTTGCACTCACAGTAATTCTGTGTACGGGCGTAAGCATCTGACTTAATTATATCTTCTAATACAGTTGTGCCCAAGCATTCACATATTTAAGTACATGTTATTTTATGACAAAATACTTTTCCTTTTATTTCTCCCCTTTTATATTGTGGTTAAGACTATGTTACAGTTAAGATGGGTTTAGGTAGGTTACATTATCTATGAATTTCATTTCAGGATAGTAAAAGGGAGAGTTAACAGTATTTGCTGTAGAGAAAGAG